ATTTGTCCTCATTTGCCCAGACAGTCCCAGTTCATGCCTGTTGTCCTGGCAGAATTATTCATCTCTCCCCTCTCACTGACAGAGAATCCCGGCATGGATGACCCATCATGCGCTGGCCCCGGCCGGGGGCGGGGGGGGGGGCAACCACTTGGGGGCAGTGCCTCTCCTCTCCTCTCCTCAACATCATCTATTTCTCTCTAGCTCATTACTTTTCAGTCATACCACACATCATGAATAACTTATTATTCATATCCCACTTACTTCCAAAAAGGATTAAAACAGTATACAGTGCATTCACTTGGCAAATATCTCGTGGAAGCCTAAAGTTCCATGAACACTACCTGAAGGCATAGATATGCACAAAGTTGTTCAAATAAAAGTTAAAAGTGAAGGCAATGAAAAACATACGGAGGGGGAGTTTATTGTGTTAGAGACCGTGGGGGAAACAGTACTTGTAATTCCTTCTCTATTTGACTTTGACCTTCCCAGTAGTAAAACCAAAAAGTAAATTACAATGTATAACATCAATCACATCGCCTAAGGAAGTACAACTTTGACCAAAAAAAAAAAGATGCTTTTTCTTCTGACACTAATTCTCGTAGAATTTAATCATTCATTCAATAAATATCTATTGAGTACTTACTCTGTCCCAGGCAGTGTTCTAGGTGGTGAGATACAGAAGTGAATAAAATAGAGCAAACAGACAAAAACTTCTGCCCTCGGTGAGCTTCCATTTCAGTAGAGCAAGACAGACAATGAATAAAATATATAGTGCATCAGTCAGTAGTAAGTGCTAGAGAGAAAAATGAATCCAGAACAGAGAACAAAGAGAGCTCAGAGAGGGGTCTGCAGTTTTAATAGGGTGATAAGGAACCCCCGCCCCCAGAAGGTAACATCCGAGGAGAGACATGAGGGTATGAGGGAGAGATCATGCGGTTATCTGGGGAGGAGCCTTCCAGAAAGAGGCCTTGAGATGGGAGCACATGAGACCAGTGTGGCTCCCATGAGGTGAATCAGGAGCCGATTATGATTACATCAAGTCAGAGAGAAGAAGGGTTGGGGGGACCGGAAATGGAGATCTTGGGTTTTTTCCTTCCAATAAGACAGAAAGTCATGGGATGATTTTGAGCAGAGAAGGGTCATGACCTGACATATTTTAAAGGATCATTCTGGATGCTATGTCAAGTATAGATGTAGAGGAACAACACGCAGAAGTACAGAAACCAGTGAAAGAGTCTGGGGAATTTTCCAGACAAGAGAAGGTAGTGAGAAGTGACCAGATTCTGGGTGTGTGTTAAAAGTAAAGGCAACAGAATTTGATAACTGGTTACATGTGAGGTGAGAGAGAGGGAGAGAGAAAGGCCAAGATGTTTCTAAGAAGCTTGGCCTGAGCAGTGGAGTTGCTGTTTAGAGATGACTGAGGGGAGAGCAGATGGTAGAGGAAGATCAGGAGTTTGATTTGGGGTCTGTTAAATAAGCTATGCCTGCTGGACACCCCAAGTAGAAATGTCAAGTCAGGCAGGTGGTCAGGTATGAGTCTGGGGTCCTCATGAATCCTCACATAAAAGATATGGAATGGTAAAATGAGCAAGGTCTTTAACAATTATTTTTTGCCAAAATACAGAAATATTTGTCTTATCACCATTTTCTTTCAATCTGAGATAAAAATCAAGGTCATACTCTTCAATCATAGCTAAGTGAAGGTATCTCTGGAAACAGCCAAATTAGTATAGTAAATGTCCTAAAACATGTTGCCTTTGGGAATCTAACTTAGAACAAGGATAGAGCTTACTGAAGCTGGAGAAATGGGAAGTTATACAGACCTATGTGTTTTCTCTCAACTATGTTTCAGATTTGCCTTTGGCAAGAGTGAGCTCTCTAATTGCACTTATTCTCCAGGGTAGATGGTTAGGTGGCAAGGTTGACATTTTGCTATGAAAAGCAAAAAAAGAGTCTGGTAAATTCTCACCCAGATCTAAGCCCATCTCATTCTTACTTGGAGGCAGGTCACCGGAATACCTGAAAGACCTACCCAAAATTTTCTTTAAAAGGAACTGTGAATTTACTCAAATGGGCAGACAAATCCCAAACTGAGACCTCAGAATGATAAGCTGGTGCTTAGCAACAATTTGGAATTGTCCAAGTTAAGATGTAGTGTTTTCCTGGCAAAAGGATGGATCTCAGACAGTGGCTTACACAGACAGATATCAGTTAATCCTTTCCCCAGCCACATAATAAAAGTGTCTATAATCCCTCCAGGCCATAGTAGTCTGGAGGGGGAAAAAAAATTGTGCAACTGTCAGAAATGTAGCAGAACTTTCAAAAGTACGTATCAGCAACATAAATGGGAAACCTATATCACAGTTGGGCTTTACCTCTGAAAGTATAAAAATCACAGCCTTTTTAAATTCCTTGAAACCAGAGACTTAGTTTGTCTTGTTCAGTCCGTATCCCCAACACCTCCTGGAACAATGCCAGCACAAAGTAGGCATTCATAAGATACTGACAAAGCAATGAGTCAACATTAAAGAATTAAAACAAAACCTACGAGCGCCATCTTGTGGAAGGCCTTACCATGACGCAGAGATTATAGTCACCAGACGGGAGAATGGACACTGAAATTTCCGTGGGACAGGACCTGAAGGGCCACAGACGATTAGGAGTAGTGGGCTAGGAAACTGCCTTGAAGCTGTGTTTGAAAACTAAGTACGCTCTTTACTTAGATTCAGGTGAGCTAGGTGGACATTATAGGGGCTACAAAAGTTCCCCCAAGCCAGCCTTTGGCACTGGTCCTGAGAATAACTGAGAGGTATAGCTCTCAAAGTGATCTTTGACCAGTCCCCCCTTACCAAAAACTGTTGTAATAACCTAGCCTCAGGTTCTTCCTTTGTGCTTCAAGAGATCCTTAGGAACCGAAGATCCAAAGAGCTCTTTGGACACCTGGCAGCATCCTCTGTCTTCCTGTTTCTCCGACTCCCTGAGGCTCCTGCTGTCACCCCATAATACTGGTATGGACTTGGCCTCTCCTCTGCTTTTCTCCAACTTTTCTCCAACTTTCTCTGTGTCCCATGCCCTCACACTGGAATCCCGTTCTCTGTCATTCCCACCCCCTTCCCAAAGCCTGACAGAGGTCCCTGAGAGACAACGTGAAGAACCCCACAACACTGCTGCTACAAACCGGGTACTCATGATTCTTCAGGGTTTGTGGGTACCTGAACTTACACAATATGAGGAACCCTCTTCGAGAAAAAGAATTTAGAATTATAGATTTAGGTGCTAACGTGAATATTTATTTAGAATGGGAAAAGAAATCACAGAAAATTACTAAAATTTCAAAGATCCAGGACCTTTTCTTCCGAACTGTCTGTGACAACTGACCAGGCCTCCTTGCCCCACTGGGCCACTCTGCCACTCCCCGCAAATCCACTCAGAGGGGCCAGAACATGTGAACTTCACTGGCTTCCTCTTCTGGCCTCTCTGGGTAGTGGCCGGCCTCCCCGGATCTCCCGAAAGTACCCGAGAGAGAGAGCAGAGGGGCTACTGTCCTCCAGGCTGCTTAAGGGTCTTTATCCCGGGGACCAGCCCAGGTGAAGCTACTCAGGGTGTCCCGTGGGAAAACACGCCCCCCCTGCCCTCCCCCTCAACCCACCCTGTAGCCCATAGGCAGACCAGACTGAGTTCAAGGCTGTCAGCTCTGGGAGCCACAGACCGCCCTCCCTTCCATCTAGGCAGCCGCCCATCAAGCCCAGCCCTGGGCCCCAGGATTCCGGAAAGCTAGCCCCTAGGAAAACAGAGCTATAAAAATTACATACCATTAAATAAATAACACAACAAAAGAAAACTCCACCCAGGGCTTGCAGGCCCTCCCCTGCCCAGGAGCCCAGGGTGGATCGGCTGTAGGGCGGGCGCCAGCCTCCTGCGAACGCTAGCCGGCTGCGATCCACAGGTTCCATCTGGGGACACCTGACACAGGGGGCCCCGGCGCAAATAATGAACCCAACTTTCTGGCCAGCCCCTGCCGCGTGGCCGGAGCACTTCCCCAGGACCCAGAGAGGCTGCAGGAGCGAAGCGGAGAAGGCGCGGAGGCTGGGAACCGACGCCCCTACTCCGGGGGGCGCCAGCAGACGTGGGGGCGCCGTTCCCATGGTAACCAGGAGCTAAAACAAACGCGGGCGGCCCGGGGACTTTGCGCTGGATCTGCGCGGCTGTCTGGCTTGGGTAAGGCATCCACGTTAGCCGCCGTGTGTGTGGGAGCCCCGACTCCCTCCGCCAGCCCCCGCCCGGCCGCGGGGAGCGGTGTGGGGAGTCCGGGAAACAAAGAAGCATCCACACACAGCCTTCTTTGTTTCTCTCCCCTTTCTCTGCCCCTCACTGTCGGCCTTTCTGTTCCCTGCTCCGCTTCTCTTCCCTCTGTGAAGGGCGGTGTTGGCCCCTGATAACTCCTACAAACGGGGGAGGACTGGGCCCCTTCCACTCCAGGGAGCCTCTGGCTCTGGGTTTAAGGAAAAACTGTGGGTGTAGATGGTTATGACTTCTTCCTTTTCGACCTGCATAGCCCAGCCAACTGGGCAGAAAAAGAATTCCCCAGATGGAAATTCCCAGCCTTGCCCACAAACCGGGTCCTGTGACCCAAAGCAAATCACTCGGTTTCCCTGTGTTGCCTTCCCCCACCTCTAAAATGGGAGAGAAACAGTGGTCCTAACCTTCCAAGGAGATGGTGAGGCGCGGCCAGTAGCAGGTGTCCCACAGGTGTTCTGTGCCGAGTGTCTGCTCAAGGCCACCCTCCTTGAAAGTTCAAACCTGAATATATTTGAAATTCTATTTATAAAAAGGGCCTTAGGAAATGAAGTTTTAATGAGTAGACGGGGGCGTCGATACTGCTAAAAATTGCACTGATTGGTCTAAGGGAGGTCAAAAGACTTTTTTGACTTCTGTGCCCGTCCCCTGGCATATTTGAATGTGGATCCAGGTCAGCCTGGGCATGGCACCATGGCACTCACCAAAGCAGGCCATCCAGTTGTTCCCCCAAGAGGGGAGGCAGCTGCCTTCAGCCAAGAATCCTGCCAGTTAGAGAGGCTGGAAACAGCTACGGAGGACAATAAGCACAGCAACAACAGGGCTTGCATTTGCAGCGCCCTGGGGAATGGCCCGCTTCCTTCACAGAAATGAGGCTTCTCCCCTGGCTGCAGCCGGAGTTTCCGAGCCCCGGCTGGCAGCACCCAGCCACAGCCCAGGTCCTGTGACCCACTCCATTCTCGCCCACGGCGGCGGCTTTGCTGTCTGAGCCCACCCACAGCCCAGCTCTTGGCTGCAAACGACAAACTGGATGTGCCGCCAGGCTCCTGTGTGCTTTTTCTTCCTATGGGCCGTCTGTCCAGCCCACGGACTTCTGTGGAAATCCTGCCACGTGCCAGGAGTTGTGCGAGGCTGCCGCCCCCTGTGGCTGAGGCAGACCTGCACATAAACGCCAGCAGTGCAGGAAGGAAAGGGCATGAGAGAACTGGGGGGGGGTGGGGGGACACTCCTTCCAGAGGAGTTTGCGTGTCTTCGCAGAGGAGGTGATTTGGAGTTGGGTTCCGGAGGATGAACAGACTTTAACGTGCTTTAGGAAATTCAAAAGCCAGCTAGGACCCCAAAAAAGAAATCCCACTCTGGAAGAGTTGGCGGAAACGTGTACCGCGTCCTCCAGAAAAGAAAGTGGGACTATGAATATACTGAAGTACAAAACCAAGAGGAGACAGAAGCATGGCCCAGGGGGACGCCCAGGTCAGTAGCCTGAGCCCTCAGTCCCAGCTCCACGATGCTGGCGGTGCACACTCGGCCTAGAGGCACTCCATGACTGGCCAAAGCCCTGGCCTCCTCCCGAGTTGACTCTCCCTGTTCAGTAATGTAACACTGTCAACAGGGCCTCCCGCTAGGCACATCGAGGGTTGACAGGAAATGCATGAGCCCTGCAGGGAATGCTCTGAATAAGCCAGACTGTTCTAAAACCAAATCTCTCTTCATTACCTTCTTGGAGGGAACACACAACTATCTACCAAAGTCGAAGGCTTCTCTTGCACCGTAAGACGGGTGAAGCCCTGTCCCCCCTTCTCTGCTGTTGTAGTTGGCCTGAAATACACGGTTAAGTTGGGCCTTGGCAGCCGTGAGCCCTCACCTAGCACTTGCTAGCCTTCTCCTGGGACCTTAAGGGCATACCTGGCCTCTTCACTCCAGGTGGTGTGGCTCACAATCTCTTAGTCTACAAACATCTGCCTCTGTTCTTCCCGTCCCACCAAAACTAGGGAGTGCTGGCTTAATAACAAAGAATTTGTTTCATTTTTGGTACTTAATCCCTCCCAACTCCAAAGATCTTGCCCTTTCTGACTGATGCCTTTACCTTCTTAGAAGAAAGGGATGCTTAAGCAGCACACTGCAGGTCCTGAACTTCCTTCTCAGCTCCAAATCCACTGAAGCCCCCGAGTCCTGTTTTCACCAGTGGTTGTGATAAACTTCAGCTCTATGTTGGTTCCCAGCTTCAAGCCTTGCTTTTGGAGCTCAGGTCTGTGTGTGCGGCTACAGCCTTGCGCTCGGCGCCTGGGGAGCTACACCAAACCGTGTTCACAAACACCATCTCCAAGGCAATAAACACTATTGGCACTCTTCACCCAGGCTATAGTTTTCTGAACTGACAACAGGTGGAGCTCCTCAGCCCTAACCAAATCCGTCTGTGCCACCAACTTTCTACGGAGTTGCGGGGATTCCAGGAGGCACTGGGGAGAGATTCAGCACCTAACAACGGACCAGAACCCACTAATTCCCCAGACCTCATAGCCTCTTGGCTGCTGAGGTTTCTTTCTGGGGGGGGGGGGGCAGTGCTCACTGCCTCAGAGCTATCCCTCTTTGAACAGGCCGTGGAGCCAGCATGGGATAATGGGTCTACCAAGGTCACCTGTTCTCTGTCCTGCAAAATTCCTAACACCTGGGAGCTTGCAGGCTCCCAGCACCATCCTGGGCTCTGCAACATGAGCAAACAAGCCATTCTGCCTGGATTCCTGAAGATTCCGGTCTTCATATTCACATTCTAAATGACTGGGTACTTATGCTTGGCAGAACCCCACAAGCAATCATAACAAAAAGTCCCTTTGCTCTTGGTCTTACCAGCTTTTCCAGGGACTAACAGCATTTTCAGGTCACAAATGACCCTCTTCCTCTCTCATATTGTCTCTCCCTGGGTCTCTCATTGAAATCTAGAATGCTCCCTGCTTCTCCAGTCCACCATGTGAAAACTTAAACCCACTAGCCAAGCCAGCTGAACTTGATTTTGTAGGGAGGTCCACCAGGGGGAAGGGAGGAGCCGCACTGGTCAGGCAGGTGGAAGAGAGAAGGGGCCAGATCACTGTGCAGTAATAACATAGCCCCTTTCATAAATAAGCTCCCCTCACCTTCTCCCTCTACACAAAATTCTGTTTCCATGTCTTTATGGTGGCTAAAGCCTACCTCCTGCCCTCCCAACTCCAGAATATCCTTTGGGTTGCTTTTAATTAAGTGGGGACTGCCTGTTTCCCTCACGGGCCCCACACCCTAGAAGCCAGGCATAGTGCTGGCCTTCTCCTAGCTCCCTATTCTCTCCCTTTATAGATACTCCTCCAGCTTACGTTGACATTCTCCTCCTCTGTTTTCATTCATGACATAATCATACTATACTGTATTTTAATTTATTTTTGTTTCCCTTCTTCAGCAAGACCTTGAGGTCTATAGATGTGCCTTATGCAATCTTGCAGCCCCGATGCCTGACAGTATCTGGCACATAGAAAGTCAATAATTGTTTGTGGCAAGAAAGAGGAAAAGAAGAAAGGGAAAAGGGATAGAAGGGATCCTTGGAAACTTATCATTTTCAGTAGCACATTTTATAAGGTCTGGTTAATACACTGAATGATAGAATCAGATTCACAAATATTTGAGCAGCCTGGAAGGGTGAGGCAGAGTCAGCAAGATGACATTTAATACTGATCCACATAAATACTTGTTATCAGGTTCAAAAAATAAACTTAAGTTTAGCAAAACGAAACAAACAACAACAACAAAAAAAAAACCTCAACAAAACAAAAGGTACAGTACATAAGAGCTACCTTCGAGTATTTGCAGCTTGCTGTAGAGCAAATCTGTTGTAGCTCCAGAGAGCAGACCTGGGAAGGCTGGTTGAAAGCCCAAGGGAGGAGGATTTAACAGAAGTCTGTGTAATTTGTTACGTGCTAAATACACTGTCTCGCACATAGAAATGGTGGCTCTGATCTTTCTTATCATTATTACCAGCATCATCGCTATTATTTATTATTTATAAGAGCTGTCCAACAGTCTGCCTCGGGAAGCACTGAGCTCCCATCCCTGGAAATCCAAGGTTATCATTGGGTAACCACCTGTCTGGGATGTTTTGTCAACCTGATTCCTAACCCCTGGTCTCCCTTTCTCCATAATCCTGTGATTCGAAGAACTCTGTCATGTCCTGGGCAGTGAAAACCACAGATACAATTCCTGGCTAAGCAAACTGTCTTTTATAAAGAGAAGCTTTGGCACTCCCCACCTTTGTTGCAGCGTACCTCCTTCAAGCAACCCCTCCGAAGCATCGCTTTGATGTTGAAAAATAAAATTGCTTTGTGCAAAAGCTCCTTTAATCTTATGTAGATACAAGTGCTTTGTGTCTCGGGGGATATGCCAAACTGCTCTTAGTATTTCAGAATTAATCTCATTAAAGAAATCTCTGTTTAATCCCCACTGCTGTTTGCCAGAGATGTTGAATAATTCCACACCTGATCCTGCTGGCTCTGCACCGTGCACCCTTCTGGATTTGGTGGTGTCTAAGAAAACACATCGGTGGGTTTAGGCTGGATCATGGCATTCCCATTTTGTTTAATGCTGTCATTATAGAGGGCGCCTGGGTGGTTTAGTTAGTTAAGCGTCTGCCTTCGGCTCAGGTCATGAGCCCGGGGTCCTGGAATCGAGTCCTGCATCGGGCTCCTTGCTTAGCAGGGAGCCTATTTCTCTCTCTCCCTCTGCCCCTCTCCCCGGCTTGTGTGCTCTTGCTCGCTCTCGCTCCCTCAAAAATTTTTTTAAAATGCTGTCATTGTAGAAATGTTCCTTTATACATCTTTATCTCATTTTCCTAATTAAAAAAAGCAAAGAAAAAGGGTAGGAGGAGCTTGCCTGTTATGAAAAATAACAAATGAAATGATGGAGTTGCTCATTAACTAGCCAATTCCATATATACTTATGATAAACTATCAGTATTGCTAAGAAAAATGGAGTTCATATAGGATAACAATCAGTTGTCTCTTTCCAAAGAATATAGGAAACCCTTGATTAGATTACCTGGTTTGTAAAACATATTTCATATATAAATGTATATTTACATACATATATATCAGTAAATGAAATTACTGACTTCCTCCCTCTGGACATAAATTCTGGATCTCCTCCATTAGGAGCCATCAGTGAATGATCCAAAGTTACCACTATGTGAAATAATCATTCATTTATTCATTTCAACAAATATTTATTAACCTCCTCCTATGTCCCAGGCATTATTCTAGGTGGCAAGAATATAGTGACAAATAAAAGGGAGCAAAGTTTCTATTCTCCAATATATAGATCAATGAACATGATACAAATGTTATGAAGAAAATAAAACAACATGATAAGAGGGTCGCCTGCGTGACTCAGTCAGTTAAAAGTCCGACTCTTGGGGCGCCTGGGTGGCTCAGATGGTTAAGCGTCTGCCCTCGGCTCAGGTCATGATCTCAGGTCATGATCTCAGGGTCCTGGGATCGAGTCCCGCATCGGGCTCCCTGCTCCGTGGGAAGCCTGCTTCTCCCTCTGCCTCTCTCTCTCTGTCTCTAATGAATAAATAAATAAATAAAAAATAAAAAGCAAAGAGGATGTGTATGAAGAAGTGTATCAAGGAGGGGATATCGGGAGGGGGGCCCCCTAAAAGAAAGCAATGCTAGTTCACTGCAACGCCCAGGAAAAAAGGTCAAACTTGGGATAGAGCCATAGCTCAGTCTGTCAACCCCGCCCACGGTGCTGACCGACTTGCTCAGGACTGAGGAGTTCTCCGCCCAGCCTCAGTGGCCATGCCCCCCAGGCCCGTGCCCACGGAGCAGAGAGGCTTAGTGAACATAAAGCCCCTATTCAGAAACAAAACAAACAAAACAGACCCTATAATTTGTGTCTTTTCCTTATTGCACAATACATGTTTATTGTTGATGTTTGAGAAACTATGTTAGAAAAACGAAGAAAGCAAACATCACTACCATCCAGAGGGGAACAATCACTTTTACACTTTGGTCATAGCCTCCCCAGGCTTTATAAAGTGTGTGTCACCTGCTTTCTAAGGTATTATGCTTTATATATAATAATTTACATATATATAAAATTATAAATAAATATACCTTAAAAAGCAGGTGACATATAATACTTACATTACATACTTACATGAATACATTTCATGTTACTAAATTTTCTACAAATCCTTTTGATAGCTACATCACACTGTGTTGTATTTTCAAGCCGTAATATTTTTTTTTAATTTTTTTTTTATTCTTATGTTAATCCCCATACATTACATCATTAGTTTTAGATGAAGTGTTCCATGATTCATTGTTTGTGCATA